AGTATAGAATTCTGTTCGTCGTACGCATAAAATAGAGGTCATGGCACCTCATCAAAGAGAGGTAATACGGCGGATTATCGAAGACTGAGTGTCGGCGGATAACAGAGTTTAATCAAGACCAATCTCCAGTCCAAAAAACGGCGGATTATAGTACCTACGTGTCGGATAATCGAGCGTCGGATTAGCGAGAGTACTTACTGTAAAATATTTCTAATGTTGAATCATGCTTGTCACAAGCATTAAAGATAAATTAAGAAAGGTAACAACAATTTATTTTATTTTAATTATTTACTACGTTAGCTTGTTACCTTACTGTATTGTGATTTTAATAATTTCTTCTTTATTCTTTTAAAACTAAACAATTAATTAAACCAAATTGTGATAAAATTCATGTAGAAAATCGATTTCTTATAAATTAATCCATCCAAGTTTTCGAATCATCATCATCATTTCAGTCCATCACAAGTCCCCTGCTGAACGTTGATTTCCCCATAGTTTGCCGCAACCGCAAAGAGCGGTCCTGTCTTGGGCATAAGCCACTTTGCTTTTATGAGTTTTTCTTTTATGTACCAAGTTGTTATTATTTTGCTTATTTTGGTCTTTCTCGAATAATGATGAAAATATAACTTGTTCTTAATACACAACAAATGTCGTATAAAAAAAGGAAGGACATCTTTCCTAAACATTTAATTCAGAAACAAATTTTATAACAAAGACAATTTGATATTAACTCCCCTAGCGCTGTCATCTAGTCTCAAAATAAGTTATGTCCTAATTAAATGATATTTATTCCAGTTTAAGACAACGCTGCAACAGCCCGGCTGACATTATATACTCCATACATATATCTAACAGCCCCATAAATTCCCACTAAAAGAAAATAACAAATAAATAAAAGAATTAAAAATTAACTGCACTACTATGCCTATAGTCATATTCATGCAAATGACTAAGCCTGAAGATGAGTTATTGTAAAAGAAGTCTAATTTTATCGGAACCATAATTTATCAAAATGTTAGTGAAATGAGCGTGGTCCGTTGCCCACGTGTTTTGATTTAACATTGATCGATTTATAATTGCGTGGTAATATTTGAAATATAGTACATAGGTATATATACCTGTAGAGTTTTGACCTTAAATATTTATGAAGCAAAAAGGCGAAGAGGCTGGAATTAGGGGTGTATGTAGGGTATACAAGTATCTGGTTTAGGGTCTATGCTTAGAGAAAATTAATCATGCTAAAAATGTGATGCCGAATCTAAAACTTTACAACCTATCGCAGCCCTTTATACCTACAGTAGAGTCCGTTTATAATGACTTCGAAAGGAATTGACAAACACGTCATAATAAGCGGACGTCATATAAAGCGTTATGTGAAATGAAAAACTTTTTTTATGTAAATATGTATGTATTTAAGTATTTTAATACAGAAACATACATAGTACATATGTAATTACATATGTATGTATATATACATATTAAACCAAAATCAAAATTGCACGTAATCAGCACATTATTATAATAACACATTGTATGTACAAGTGTATTTTTTACTGTAAGTAATCTGTAATTTTTGTCTGCTTTTGTTTTTTCATTTTATTGTAAAAACAGTCTCTAATACTATTGTGTATAGAAGACATAGCTATGGTCAAATTATCATTTTCAATATTGCTGTGAACAAATCGTGATAATAATTTTGCAGCTTTTAATGCCTCTTCTGCGGTAGGTAATGGTGCTTCCTCGACTTCCTCTTCCCCATCACTTTCGAGTTGTTCCTTAGCACTAATGTTCTGTACGATATTTTCATCGGTGGGTTCTTCGGATGTGAGGAGACCGCTATCGATGTCAACATAATCTTCCCACATTTCCGGTGCTGCTAAAGAATTGAGTTTAGGTTTCGTGACCACAAAGATAAAGGAATGTCATCTTCTTCATCGAATTCATGTTCTGATATTTGAATAGGTAAACCGTTGTGGCTTTCAATGAATCCTGCGTGTTTGAAACAGTTATGAATGGTACTTTGAGACATTTTATTCCAGGCATCATTAACCATCAGAATTGCATCTAGCACCGTTACTTTTGTAGAAGAGTGGTTTTCATTAGCATCAAGACAATTAATCATTTTGAGCACAAGGTTCTTCCTAAAATTCATTTTGAGTGATCGTATTATTCCCTGATCCATTGGCTGTAGTACTGATGTTGTATTCGGCGGAAGGAAAGCAAGTGTTATAGACTTTAAATCAGTAACATTTGGATGCGCCGGGCAATTATCAACCAGCAATAGAATCTTTTTCTTCTTCTTCACCAAATCACGATCCCAATCACGAAGCCATTTTTCAAAAAGTTCTGACGTCATCCAAGCTTTACGATTGTTAGCATAATAGACAGGTAATGTTTTGACACCTTTAAAACATCTTGGTTTTTGTGACTTTCCAATAATGAGCAATTTCTTCTTCTCTGTGCCACTCATATTCGCTGTTACCATGACAGTTATTCTATCTTTCGATAACTTACCTCCACTACAATTTTCACCTTTAAATTTTAAAGTTTTATCCGGCATTAATTTGTAAAAAAGTCCAGTCTCATCAGCATTGAATATCTCATCATCAGAAAATTGTCTTCGTAAATTCGGCCACACAGATATCAACCAGTTTGTTGTTGAATTTTGATCTACAGACGAAGATTCACCGACAATTTTTCCAGCCACAATGTTATGTCGAACTTTAAAACGACTGATCCAGCTTGCAGAACAATTGAAGTCGAGAATACCAAAACGCGCGGCAAAACCATTTGCCTTTTCCTGTAGCATAGGACCGCTGATAGGTATTCCTTTGTTTCTCATGTTTTTAAACCACTGAATTAATGCTTGATCAACATTTTCTTGTCGTGATTTTCGAAGCCTCTTCGGTTTCAAAACATTTGAATTGAACGATTCCTTAATGCGGTTCTTGTTTTTAAAAATCATTGAGATTGTCGAATGACCCACGCCAAATTCCTTTGCGAGACATGAGTTAGATTCTCCATTTTCTAATCTGCATATTATTGCACCTTTCTCCTCAATTGTAAATGCTTTACGTCGTTGAGATGACATTTTTTTCACAGTAGCAAACGAAAAACAATGCGTGACCTTCAACCGTCAATTACTCACTGAGAATCAAAACAAAAAAAAGCCACGTGCCGAACGTCGTCGGGAATCAACGAACAATACCGAAGGTGTAAAGAATCATGTCGGTCATTATAACCAGACATAATTTATTAAAAATGGGTCATAATAAGCGACATGTCACTGTAAGGGAAGTCATTATATCCGACTTTGTTATAAAGAATTTTATATGAAAACCAAACTTCGTAGTGCAAATACGTCATAATAACCGGCTGGTCAATATAGGCGGAGTCATAATAAACGGATTCTACTGTACTTATATGTTAAATGTTCACAACATCCTTCCACCTGTTCTTTCATCATCGATTTCCTACTTACATTTCGAGCATTAATTATCCATATTGGTGCAAAACCCTGTAAAAAAGAACCAATACAACACATTTAACCTTCTTTATTGATCTGAGCATTTACCTAACCGTTTGAGCGATAGAATCAGCCTAAAGTATGTATAAGTGTTTTGTATGCGAATACCTGTTAAATAACATTTGAAAAAGCGAAATCTGCTATCGCGTAACGCTTTCAATACTTATGAACTTTCACCGAATTTACAAGTTGCTATTGAAAGGAAGTTGGTACCTACTAAATATCGTAACTATTTTTTTTCATTTTTTCATTAGCACAGGTAGTTAGTAGATAGGTATATTAGATTACCCGAACGCAGTCATATGAAATTTCGTTTTTTACTATTATAAAAGTAAATACACATGTCGATTTAGTTGTAGTGCCTTAAGGGCCCCAAAATGTTCGCGAATTTATTTATTACACTATCTGGTATCTGGTCACGCTTGTGGAGCGTTGTTATTCCGAACATTATTATTTCAAGGTTGTGCGGCCGCCCGCCGCAGTGAGGTTGCGTTGTGGGCCTCCTCGCTAGGCGTCGTTTAACTGGTATCTCTGTCCCTTTTTCGCATTAGGCTCACTGCACATGCTTGTACTTGGCATTCGATATGAGTATCGTCCACATGAACGTAACTATTCGACAGCAGTTTCATTATGATTGTGTATGTAATTACTTATTTTGATATAATTGAATTTACGTAGCTTAAATGTGTAAATGCGTTTATTATATATACTAAACTTGCAAAGACTTCACATCACAGTAAACATGAGTCATACTAACATTCATTTGTTTAATATAATATCTAGCCAGGAGGGGCAGAATCATTAACAACTTGTATTCAATAATTTCAATATCATTATTTAAAAAAGTTGCCTGCCCTTTATCCATGCTTTCATATCATTTCATGTCACTTTAATCATTATTTATACTTATATCAACGGTCGGACAGTTTCTACATTATGCTTAGTGGTTGAAAGTTAAAACTTATTTACCTGTTCCAATAAAATATTAAAGGAAGTAGACAAAGAAACGGTACGGTAATAAAAGTATTTGCTGCGTTTGATACATTTTATCTGTTTTTTAATTTTGTTCATTTTCTCAATAAAAATTCTTATTATTTATTACCACTATAATGTCATCAATGATTTACCGTCACTATTACAGCCTACTCAAGTCCACAGCTGAACATAGGCCTCCCCCATGGATTGCCTCATAGGGGGGTATTTCCTAGTTGGCACGCTTGGCAAGCGAGTTGGCGACCGCAGTATTTATGTTTAGTCGGTACTAGGAAGACGCTGCTGCCTTTCTCTTGATTTGTTCCCCTCTGTCGCCCCTTACGACACCCACGGGATGACATGGGGTCGTGGATATTCTTACACTGCCTCTATATGGACACAAACGATTTAATTTAATTAAACAATCTTTGTTTGCTGCTCCTGTAGAATTGAATCCTGTGACCTCCAACCGGGAGACACATGGAGGGGGATGCATGGCAAGATGAGCGTGACAACGCCGGTTAAGAAGATAAGAAAGAAATCTGACAATAAGCCACAATCGCAAATGTACGTATTATGCGTTTTGAGATATTACAAAACATACATTTACAACATAATATTATTGAATTTCAACAGTAGGGTTGGGTACTTTAGAAAATAATATCTCATAAAACAACATGCGTCACTCTGAGTAGTTGTTATGTCTATTGCCTGAAGTTTATAAATTATGATTTATTTCAAATGGCAGTGTTTTATTAAAAGTATATTTAAGATAATGAATCATTTTTAGTGTTCCGTGCCTCTAAAAAGCAAACGTTTTACAGTCCCTTGGAAAAAATTCGTACAATTTTTTACACCTCCAATTCAATTTTAGTCAACTCAAGTACATTCTTGAAAAATAAGATCACCGCACTACTACAAAATGCCTCTGGAGCAGTACCACCATGGAGAACGGAATGGAAAAACTTCTGAAGGCCTTAAATTACCAGTTTTCTACCCGCTTTCGGAAGCTCCGCTGTAATTCCTTCCTCACCCGGGATCTTTCCGTTTTTAAGGTTCTGAAGAGCCATTCTAATCCCAGACCGACGTCCGGGATATCGTCGGAATAGTGTCGGATGAGATTTTCTCCCGGACAGTTTTCTGATACTGATGACAAGGTGATAGATAATACACCCATCCGGAAGTCACAAAACTTTCTTCCTATTATCGTTTCGTATTTATGTTGCCGCCTTACAATACAAATTAACTTATAAACTACGCTACACAATAACTAAAAAAATTACTAAAGAATTTACCCAATTACTAAACTTTATTGGCAATGGAATGATTGTTGTTTTGAATTTTATTACATAATTCACTGGAATATTTTTTTTTTGGAAAAGATGCTTTTGTTGCACCAAATAATAAACATTATATACTTACGAATAACTTTCAGAAATTTCTTTGTTCTCTTTATCTATTCGAAACTTTTATTTCCTCCTTAAGAGCACGTTCAGACTCGGCGGAAACCGTGCGGACGCAAACCGCGCGGGTCCGATCCGCGAGAATAGTGAAGTGTTCAGACAAGCGCGGTTATTGTGCGGTGCGAGGACTGCGAGGTAGGGTGACAGCCTTTCAGTTCAATCATGGAAGTTGAAGAGGCAATATGTGTGTACTTACTCCTACTCCACAAAAAAAAAGGAAACGGCAGTATTGGGTGCATCCAATTTTACAAGATCGGTTCACTCATGGTCAGTTTGTGTCTTTATATGCAAAGTTAAGGAATTATGATTCCGAATTTTTTAACTATTTAAGAATGTCAATAAAGTCATTTGACGAATTATTGGAAATAATCAGTGAACAAATTACATCTTCTAATACCCATATGAGGTCAAGCGTATCACCAGAAGAAAAACTCGTGATCACTTTAAGGTAAGGTATTTATTTTTATTTAATAATTATCAGAATATATATTTATGTAATATAAGAATATATATTTATATTTATGTTATATTAGAATATATATTGGGTATTTATTTTCACATAATATCAGAATATATATTTTCTACAATAGAAGACTGTGAGTCATCAGTAGTGTATGATGAAGGCGATGGAGATCCCGCTGGTACAATTGTAGAGTATCCAGTAAAATATCCTTGTGGATTTGAATATGGTTGGCTATTTAAATATGCTGTATTATGCATGTTTTGCTGGTTTGTTGTAATGCGAAATGGCAATGGTAATTTCTGTCCCTTCTCTATTACTTGAAGTAATTCAATTTTAGTAGCCAAACGCTTGTTTTCTGGAACTTTTTTTAATTCTTTGTACAAAGATAAACAAAAAAGCTTATCATCATCTTGGTTAGAAATATTTTCTTGTAATTCTCTTTGTAATTTATCTCGTGACTGAATGCTCTCCTCTAATATGTTAGCCAATCGATCTTCTGGTGCACTTTTACTTTTTTTCTTTTTTTGGGGGGAGGGGAGCGTATTTCACGTGCATTCACAAAATTATTTTGGTCTTTGTCACTGTCTTCATTATGCTCATTTTTCGCTTCTTCTATGTTACTAGTTGTTTCTTTATTTTCTACCGTCTTCTGAAGAAAGGAAAGCCGGTCAAAATACATGTATTTTGAACCTTTACATGCACCTGAACCAGAAGGAGCTGACTTGCCTTTTTTGAATTCCTTGTTGTAGGCATCACGTATGTTCTTCCATTTTTTTTTGCAATGTTACACCTGAATAAGAAATTTATCGTTAAGAAAAATGTTAAGGTTTTCATAATATGTGCTGGTATTTTTTTTTGTTTCAGATATCTGGCTATTGGTTGTTCCTTTGGAGAACTTCGTTACAACTTTCGTCTTGGCAAATCTACAACCACAGGAATTGTCCGTGAAGTATGTAAAGCTTTGTGGAAAATACTCGCAAAAAAAGTCATGCCCGAACCGAGTGAAGATGTGTGGGAGAGAATAGCTATAGATTTTGAAAGATATGCAAATTTCCCCAATTGCATAGGCGCCATAGATGGCAAACATATAAGGGTTATAATGCCTGATGATTCTGGATCTTTATATTATAATTATAAAAACTATTTTTCTATAGTACTTTTGGCACTTTGTGACGCTAATTACTGTTTTACTTTTGTTGACATTGGATCATATGGAAAAAGTAGTGATTCTGCAATATTTAAAAATTCAATATTTTATAAAAGATTAATAGAAAAATCATTACACATACCAAAACCTAAACCAATATCTAACGCAGATCCTTTACCATTACCATACGTTATAGTTGGCGATGAAGCGTTTGGTTTATCGGAAAACTTAATGCGACCCTATGCGGGTAAAGGGTTATCATACGAAAAAAGGATTTTTAACTATAGGTTATCTAGGGCTCGACGTAATATTGAATGCAGCTTTGGTATTTTAGCAAACAAGTGGCGTATTTTTCATAGGCCTATAAACGTTAACATAGACTTTGCCGAAGACATAATAAAGGCATGTTGCGTGTTACACAATTTTGTTAGGACAAGAGATGGTGTACGGTATAAAGACACTTTGTACACTGCGCCAATGAGTAGTCTTAATAAATTACATGCAGGAAGAGGTACACCTTCATCTTTGAACATTAGAGATAGATATGCTAATTACTTTGTGAATGAGGGTCGTGTAGAATGGCAAGATACTAAAATATAAACTTATAAATATGTATATTACATTGGTAGGTATCTATATTATGTAAACACAATCACAAACAATGTAAAGTAACTACTAGGAGAAATGTTTAAATAAAGTACCTACTAACCAAAAAGTTTTTTCTTTTCCAATGAATCCTCGTTTATACCAAAAATCTCTACCAGGTCCTGCCAAGCCTTATTTTTGGCAATTTTATTAGAATAATCTTCACACTGGATGTCCCATATTGCTGGTCTTTTTTCAACTTCGTCAATGAATAGTTCGGTGTCAAAGCGCTCCATTGTCATACGTGCGATACGCGCGGATTCCACGGAGCAACTGAACACGCCCAGGGATTGTCATAGAATTACGTCCGCGCGGCGAACGCGCGAATTCATTTTCTTGCGGTCGAGTTGCGGCTACCGCGCGGTTGCATGGTCCGCGCGGTGTAGTATGAACGTTCTAGTACTATGCCATTATAATAAGATCCGCGCGGTTGACCCGCGCGGTTTGCGTCCGCGCGGTATCCGCCGTGTCTAACTAAGGGTAACTAAATAAATTAATTGAATCAGGCGTTACTTTGAGCAAATTCATTAAATTGACGATTTAAAAAATGTTGCTTAGATCGGCGTAACAAAATAAAATGATGTTGTCTTACCTAGTTTGAAGGACACCTCCCGCCCGCGGTCAGCCACCGCAGTCTACTCCACCTGAGGATGCCTCGTGTAGAGGCGAAACACGTGTCGTATTATCGACGGTGGTGTGCCTTTCCTAGTGTAGTGGTGTTGCTGGGATTAGTGGTGACGGGAATAGTACGGGCAATTGAAGGAGGGCGGGAGGTCATTTTCAAACTAGGAAAGACACATCATTTTATGTTACTACGCAGATCCTAAAGTGAAAACTTCAGAACAGTTGTCATTTAAAACTCAATGAAATGAAAAAGCGACACTAAAAATGCAACATCTATAGGATTTAGCCTGCGAGAGAATTATATGGAACTAAGGTTTTCAGATGGTCAGGATACATCTGGATTCTCCCGAGATTTTAAATGATCTCCAGACTCCTGGCAAAACTCAAAATCTCCCGACAAGCAGCTTCTCTTCACATCACAGCTGCTTTTGATTCAATGTAGGTCTGAGTTAGTAATTAAACTGAACTTTGAAGTAAATTTTTTTTAATTTTAAAGTCTTTTCTGAATACTAATAAAGGATCAAAATTGGTGGACTCAGTAAAGTGCAATGCCAAATACACGTGGGAACCTACACATTAAGTGTTCTTAAATAAGTTGTGTCAACAATGTTGTCTTTTTGTAGCCTACACTTACATTAAAAAAAAAACTTTTTATTTTATATTTTTATTTATAATATTTCTTTCTCCCGACACCAACCCCAAAATACCGACATTTTCAAAATTTGTCCAGATATTTTGGTCTTCCTATCTGGCATTCTTAAGAACAGTGTATACCGCGAATTCAAAAGTTTGTTGGTTCGAATCCGTCATTCGACTACCCTCTTAAAAAATATCATTTTATTTGACTAATTAACATATTAATTAAATAAATTAAATTATCTTAATATCTGTAATATCCACTTACCGCCTTGTAAGTCAATCAATTTTTGTTCGATAAAATGACTTTATCTATAGAATGAAGTAGATGGCGTCTATTACAAAATAATTTTACTCGAAAGAAAATACATATTCTTTTCATTTATTACACTAAAATTAAGGCTAAAAATAAAGTTTGTAACATTTATTTGTTATAAAATTTAGCTTTCATCTTACATTTTATGCCGCACTTGTTGATAATGATCATATTAAATTAAATAAATCATTTGCCGTGAAATATTTTTATTTTATATTTCATTTCATTTAAAGGTTTCACTTCTACCGCTTGTGGACTTTATAACGAAGTAAC